GGAGCTTGGCGTACAAGACACTTGAAGGTCCGGGCCGCCCACCTCAGATGGAGGATCCAGTCTGGTCAATGGGAGCTGAAATACCAGCCTGGAAGAGAGCTCATTGCGGACATCGGCACCAAGGCTTTGCCCGTGGCTCGAGTCAATGAGCTAAGACAGCGAATGGGGATGTCCTGGCAGCCCGACTCAGTTGATGAAGTGCATGAGGAGGACAAGGGCATTGTTGCACCTCGTGCTATGAAGTTGGTCGCGAAGTACCACCTGGAAAAGGCCATGAGGCTTGTTGTGGTGCTGTCGGCATTGAAAGAAGTGCATGGAGCTATGGCTGAGAACGTCACCAAGAGTGTTGATGAGAACACCGAGGGCGACCACATTCTGTACCTCCTCAGCGTCATGATGATGTTGCTGGGAATGGTGCTCATGAAAATCCTTCAACGATGCCGCTTGCATTGGGGCCAAGTGGAGGAGGAGCCAGTGGCGCGTAGAGTGAGGGTCTCTCGCTTGACTGGACAGGCCTCCTCAGGGACAAGGTCTTCTACAAGGCTTCAAGCGGAGAGGGGTCAAGGATCACACCAAAGAGGAGAAAGCCAACAGCGAACGAGCGATGGGGAGCACAGCACTTCATCGTTGCCGCTGACGGGTACCAGTTCTAATGAGGGAAGGGGAACTGGAGGTCCGGAGAGAGATCATCCTGTACAAGCTGAGCCGCAAGAAGAACCTCCCAACCAAGCTGACCTACCAGGGGACCGACTACAGATCACCCTGACCGGAAGAAGGAGGCGGTTTGCAGCTGAGCCGACGTGGCAGATCTGGTTTGCGGAGTCCAGCCAATGCTTCCATCGACGAGAGGATTGCAGGGGGCTGAGAAACGCAAATCGAGTTCGAGGGCATCCGGTGTGTGGGGCCTGCCAGAGGGCAGCTCAAGGCCAGAGGAGCCTGATGGAAGCAAGCTTCGTGTATGAGGACCAGCTGGGCAACCACCACACAGATGCTCGCTGCCGCGCGGTGACAGGGCCGATGTTAGAGATCCGCCAATGTAAAGTGTGTGGCGGCTGAAGCGGTTTGGGCCTACGGCTCGATTTTCAAATGCTGGTCAGATGCTAAACGCACGACCAGGGAGGAGTGCTGGTCCGCAAAGGATGACACGCACAAATCAAAAGGTGTACCAAAACGGACACTTGAAACGAACCCAACTGAGACGGTTGGAAGCCGCTTTTGCGCAAGCCTGAAAAAGGTCTTCAGGCTGAAACCTTCACGTACAATATTCTTCGAGCAGATACAATCTACTTTAAAGCCATGTAGATGGAATCTACTTTGTACGATCTATAATTTGTGGGCTGTGCAGCAGCATCGACAACTTGTCAACTTGTCCATCGATGTTGTGTGGGGCAGATGTGTGACACGTCCACCAACACCTTGCGTGACAAGGGCAGCAAGATTTTACACACCCTGAGCTATGAAGAATAGATGGCGTCATGATTTTGAGCCAGCTATCAGAATCAGGAAACAGGCTGCTAATGGCTGCTATAATTTTTCAGGAATGATCACGACTGCCCCAGGGACGTAGGAACTGTAGCAGAGAGTACATGAAGTGAAATGTCACGCACTCAACCAACCTCCTCACAAACATCTGAAAATAGACAATGCACGTGTAGTGTGCAAGAGCGCAAAATAACTGAAGAGTTTTGAGAAGGTCACGAAAGAGTTCAGGGAGATATTGTGGAATTCTGTTGACTCAAGAGTCTTAAGACTTGCAAGAAGTGTTGTGAAGACAAGTGCTGGAAGAGAGTGTTGCAACAGACGTGCTGTTCAGGAGATTGCCAGCGTGTTGTGGGACGTCCGTGTTTGTAAGGATTCTGAAGCGGAACGTCCGAGGCCGAACCACCCCTAGATCTTGCGGCAGCGAACGGCCACGTGGCTGTCCCTGCTGTTGGCTGGCGCTGCCCTGAATACGAAGACCGACAATGGCCGGGGGCCTCGGAATCCTCGCTGACTTGATCGAGTTGTGTCTTCCAGGTGACCAACTCTGTCCCAGCAACGTTGTCATTTTGCGAATTAGGGCCAACCACCTGGTGGAATTGTCTTTCGGTGTTAGAAAGAAGCCCTTGAAGGATCCATGCTCTGTGCAAGGAGAGCTGCCTCCAATTCTGGTTGGCATGTGCATTCCAGATCTCAGATCTCGAAGAACTGAACGAACATCGAAAGTGCCAATATGCTCAGGCAGAAGTAACTCACTGCCGACACAAGCTGAAGGACAGTAGCAAGAGAGACCGTTATCTCCTCTTCCACTAATGCTCGCGTATCAATGCTCATCTCCCAGTTGTTCGTTGGCAAATCACTCTCTGCTGTTTCCGTTCAGCTGGGTCCAGAAACATGTCGATGTCGATTCTGTCACGTGGCTGGATACTGAGGCGAAACAGGGGTAACCAGATGACACTTGTGTCTTAAATATACATTCGACAGTCCAGTGCACATTCCGACATCAGGGATAGACTGTCGAGGACTTTTTCCCTACTGGGATGCTGTAGTTGGACTGAACCGATGTGATGGTGCTTGTCCGTGCTGTTGGTATGTTCGAACGACCAGTATCAGGAGTGGTCCACGCTTCAGCGTGGACAGCATAGCTCTCATCCCTACCATTCTGCTGTCGGACCGTTGGAGCAACGTGTTTTGGCATGTAAAAGTTTTTGTTGAAAGCGGAACTGCATCATAGCCCACAAAGGCAGTTCTCATAGTGTTGCGCACGCGCGAAGGCATGCGAAGCCAAATCGCGTAGACTCCACAATAAATCTTTGCAAAGACAACTTGCGCATGCAAAAAGTACTCTGTTGTAATTGACTTGATTGCTTTCTTATCCCTGGAGGGAAGTGTGGAAAGCCAAAAGGGTTCAGGAAATCCTATCACTTCCGGCACTGCGTAATACCAGAACTTCGATGCGACGGTATAGGGCCGTGTATAGGGCCCGCCGTTTCCAAAAACAACACTGCTCGGTTGGTGGTCAGTTAGAATTGTTCCAATCCGAATTCTCTGGTGACTGGGGAAGCGTTCCACACCATGGTTGATCTTTCTGGAACCTCATCCTGTCCAACTTCTTCCTATGGCTACTGCTCCCTGACTTATCGTGCGCACGCACGAAAATCAGGCTGGTCTCCAATCTGCAATATGTGGTTTTGCAGCTTTAATCAGACAAGAATTGAATATCGGCTTAGCGCTCCTAGTTTCGACCAGACAGTGCATGCGTGTCAAAAAAGTATACTGGTCTGGCTGAGGGCGAACAAGCTTAAATGAGCTCAAAAACTGCATCATTCCAATCCTTGCATACTTGGTTCCTGATGTGACCAAGTTCGTCTTTTGTTCAATCCATGCATCTCGGGCCTCTCGTTCACCAGCATTTTCGGTGGCAGCCAATAAACAAACGCCTTGATCCCTTCCTTGTTCAAGATGAAGTCCCTTAAATGAGTCCCTTACTCAGAATTGACTTCGCCCAAGGCCCATACGGGGGCGGCCGAAAAAGCCTTTGTCGCCTATCCTTGTGGTCTTCTTTTCTGCCCCAAGCGGGTTCTCACAAGAGTCCGTTGAGTCTGTTCGTGAAGGGGCCAAGCACTGTCGTCCTGGGAACTTGTCCCCTTCCGGCAGTAGCATGACATTCTATAGATCTTAAGATCTTGTTGCTAGCCTGCCAAGGTTGTCCCATCAAACTAGGTCATGTAAATATGACAGCACCAGGTCTACATGGAATAGTTTCCACTATACAATTCCACATACTTGTATCTAGTATATAGGCTTATATAGGTACTTAAATTGTTTTTAAATATATATGTTCTGGGTGTTCAACAAACTTATTCCGACATCAATCTAGCTCTTCCTGGCTTTTCCTCCTTCACCTTTATTGAAGAAAGATTTTGAAACAGCACATCAGAGGCTTCACACCGTTGCATCTTGCAGCGGATGGCCACCTCGCTGCAGTCGAGCGGCTGGTGGCTGCTGGCGCTGCCCTGGAGACAAAGACGCCCAGTGGCCCGGTGCCCGAGGACTGCCCGGTGATCACAAAAGATAGGCAAGCGTCGGTGGTTAAGGATGAACAGGAAGAGCAGGTTGTGGCTGAGCATGGGATGCCAGCTTGTAGCTTCTTGTTTGGAAATGGAACTGGTGATGGGACTCGGAACTATTCTCTCCCTGTGGGGCCTGTTGAAATCTCAATAGAGCCGGCTGGGTGCTCAAGATGCCCTTTTTTCCTTTTGTGGACAGATGTGCGCAGTTTGACTCAGATTTGGCAGACAAAACTGCGCACGGCTCTGCCTCCTTCAGAGCTTCTCAGGTTGGACACCCCTCCATGTGGCAACCTTCTATGGCCACCCAGAGGTAGCGCAGCGTCTCGTCGACGCTGGATCCGATGTTGAAGCCAAGGACGGCAAAGGCCTGGCAGCGTCAGAGGAGAAGAAACAGCTTTGTTGAGATTTGTTGAGGAAGGTGCCAGCTGATGGAGCAAGTTGAGTACTGAGTCAACGGATTGTAAAGGGCTTCTCAGGTTTTAATGTGTTGCCCTTGCTAAGTGTATCCAACTCCAACAGCTTTGGACATTGTTGAAGCAGCACGATTGCTTCTACTCAGTGAGCCGTTGAGAGGCCGAAGTGCGTGGGACTTGGCCAAGAGCAAGGGCACGTTGGAGGTCATGGCAAAAGTCCTTCGACCCGTTCCTTGGGGCGGTGCAGTGTTGACTTTTGCTCACTGGTTTCAAACAGGAACTGTTGCAGCAACATGAACTGTTGCTGCTTCGCTCCTGCACATGTCTTCCCTCTCATCTCTTCGACAGTGTCTTTCTTTCCCACTGGGTTGCTGCACGGTAGAGGTCGCAAACCTCACAAACTTGGGCTTTCTATAACTTCACAATACATAATTACTTCACAAACTGCTGAGGTCCAGGTGGGCCTGCTGAGTGGTCGCACTGCACGCTGCAGCTTGGCAAGTCGGTGGGATTATCAGGACTACCGGCCATTAGAACATTTGAAGATTGATTCTTGATTATACGCCAGAAGGACAGTTTCGTTCTTGACTGGGAAAAGTAGTTATATAAGCTGTTGCAGATGTTGATGGGTTGGTTACTTTTGGATCTTTTGGCTTCTAAGCTGTACCTACTGCTGCAGATGGGATTTGCTGGAGCTGTTTTTCCCACATGGGGCTGCGCAAAAAAACCACAGGCAGGGGTCAACCAAAGGCCAAGTAAGCGGAGCCAACAAATGTAGGGAAAAGAATCCAGATTCCAGTCAGATTAGAAACGTCCAGTGATAGACGGATGGTCTTATCTTCAGGAAGTGAAGTGCAACATCATGTCATTTGCGCCAGATGTTGGACTCTCTGAGGTGACCCTCAACCCAGCCGCACTGTGTGTGAGCTGCTGGAAGAAGCCCAGCAACTTGGAGGCAACGAGTTGGCTCTGATGAGCTCCACCTCTAGAGCCAACAGTCCTTAGGTCGGTGCGATCAAATTGGGCCACTGGTCCTTTGCATTAGCTCGTGTCTTTGCCTTCCAAATCACAAGACTCGTCAGTGCATCTGTGGACTGGTGTGTTACTTCAATGCAGAGTCTAGCGGCAAAGGCATGCATGTGGTTTGAACGCCACGGTTGCTGATGAGTATCGGGCACTAGGGATGGAGCTCCGACGCTGTTGTGATAAAACGCTCTATATCGATTATTCTCTATATGTACATGGTTGGTGTTGCAGAAGTCCAAATGCGATCGTCAATGTGAGCTTAGGTCAAAGCTGGGGATTGGGATTCAGCAGCTTGTCACGAGCTCTGGAATGACTCTGTGCCTTCTCCATGTTTTGCATGCTTTGATTGATACGGTTTTGGCCGAATCACGCACGACTTCTTGTCTGAGAAGGCTCCTGGAAGGTCTGAAGGATATGCGTCTTTCGCTTCTTTCGCCCTGCCAGGAACCAAGACTTTACATTGGAAGAAGCTGGCATAGACTATGCAGGTCATGTTTTTGCCCTCGCTTCGGCCTGGCCGCACAGGTCGTGACAGACCGTCAGTCATGACCACTATTGGGCGTGCGGGCTTGCGATTCACCACAGTGTAGATTTGGTCAAAGCATGTTCCTGACAAGCTCTAGTGGAGGAAAGAAACACCGTTGTGTCCTGTGAGGTCAACGAAGATGAGGCTCGCCCGGTTATTGCACAGTTATATTGCACGCTTGGCCATGCGATGGTGAGGTTCGCGATGTGTATGAATACCTTCAATTCGCCACTGTTTGAATTTTCTGTGCTCAGATTCAGATCCAGAAGACAGCGCATGCAGATCTACAATGTAACAAGTGTCTACAAGCTTAAACATATGGGAGAAGGTGAAGGAAAAACAGCCTTATTGATTTCATAGGTCCAACGAGAACTGAAGACAAATTGTTGATACCAATCTCCGGCAAGTGCTTGCATGGGCTTGCCCATGCTTGACCTAGATATATCTGATAAGGAGGTTGTGATGTGGTGATGTGGTGTTTTCTGTGCTGCTTGGTTTGCAGCGGAGTGTGCTTGACCGGCGCCGGACCTTTCCGTGTTGTGCACTGGTTGAACCAGCGCTGCCTCGCCATTGTTTTCTCAACCCATTGAGCGGCCTTCCCAGGGCCACAGATTTCCCAACAGGTGGCTCCTCTGCCGGTCTGTGTGTTACGCGACGCGACGCGCGCGACGCGCAGTACGTGCCGTGCCTGGTCGGTCAGCAACGCGCACGGTGCTCTGCGCCGTGCAAAATGAAGGCGTCCTGAAAGATGGAACGAAGGAAACTCCATCGCCCCATTCGATCTATAGACGAAGCCCGAAGTGAAGTGTCCTGCCCTTTTGGTGCCCGCATGTGCAATGATGCTGACAATTTGAATTTTTGAATACTTTTACGATCTTTTACGCGTCGAACTGTCGAACTTCAATGGAGCCCGGAGCAAGCTCAGGCAGTCATCAAGGTGAAGTCTCCACCCGGATTGCCCGTTTTGATGCGAGAACACATGTCCGAAATGCATGTCAGTCAGAACACATGCCAAAACGAAAGTCAGAACACGTGCCAGAAAGGATGTCAGATCACCTGCCAAAGCATTTCCCAGCCTGTATGCTAGGTTGCTTGGCGATGTGTCAGTAGACAGACCAGACTTGATGCCAGAACAAATGTCATGAACATTGTGTCAGCGCACATGTCAGGCAGCGCTGGCCACAATAGTCTATCATATACAGTGTATGTGCCCTGCCCTTTTCCAAATCGCCTTTCAGGGTGAGGATTACTCGAAATTGTTCGGCTATCTAGTCACTAGACATTTCTGAGTCTAGTCCTTTCTCAAATCCCTTCGCCTCGCACTGCGCCATGCGTGGAATTCTTCAATCCGTTCCACCACAGAGCTGTTCTTCTCAAACCACACGACGAAGAGCACGAAATATGCACTAAATGCCGGACGGAGCAGTCAGAGCTTGATATTGCGTGGCGTGCAGGAAGTGTGACCCACTAGAAGCACCAAGCCCTGGTCGTTTTACACACTTTTCCCATTGGCCCCGAGCAATGCCAGGTAGCCAGTGTCTCAGAAAGTGCGACGAAAGTGCGCCGAAGAGTTGAGAAACAATCATTATTTACTGGTCACCTGCAGAGTAGCCGAGAATTAACGAATTCACAGGTGAACAGAAAAGGCAATGTGATAGAATGTCCTTTCTAGTGCACAATAGTCAATAGTGCACAATCATATGTTTCTGCTTCCGCTATTTCATGAACTCTTGGTCTTGGAAGTTGCCTCGGAGGCTCTCCAGACCGCACAGGGAGGACACCTCAAAGCTCTTGCAGCGCTGGGACTTCGGAGCAACTTGGAGCAAGTTATCCACAGTTCTCAGCCACTGAATTTCAGACTTTACCATTTTAGCACAGGCTAGCTGATTAAAGAATTGAC